TTAAAGGGACTAATAGATTATTGATTTAAGCAGGATGACAGTGAACAGATCAATGGCTCAGAGCACTCTGTATCTACCTTAAAAGCCAAAGATGACTGGTGACAGGGAGCCTCCAGCCGCTGCCACCTTGGTCCCATTGTCTTTCTTATGTGGGGAAGACAAAGGGGAAGCGGGGCTCTGATGAACTTTGTCAATGGGACTGTGTGTATCTGCTGTATTGCCAAAAAGGCAAGAGGTCGATGAACATTCTGAATCTGTCTCTCTGTTGATGCTTCCCTATGTGACTGCAGCACTTGTCATGGTTTGTCTGTTTGAGGCCAGCTTCGGCGATCGAACTGTCCCTCAGAGATTTTTCTTTTCTCTTTTTCTTGGCATTGTCCTCAGTGTGATAAGCTACACTGAGCACATGAAAGACCATAAGATATCAATATGGAGCATGGTATCTGAAACGTGTGTGCGTGTGTATCTTTAACATCAGTAGGCCATTGATCTGAAGATGATTATCTCTTGTCATACCGGTAGCTTGTCAGTTTTGGGTTGCGTGTGATTTGTTTATGGCATTTACGGCATTTCTATTCCATACCACAATGAAAAAAAATAGATTTTTCTTTGGGACTGCAGTATGGTCACCTCCTCAGAGATGTCTCCCCTGGTTTCTCCTGATCTGAATTGGAGATGTCGTATTGAATCGCTGTTGTATCGATGCATTGATTCCCATTTGTTAAAAGTACGCTGACCCCTGGGTCTCTTCCCCAGATTTTCCGACATAATGGGGTACAGATGGGGCATCAGGATGGTTGCAAACTCCCTACCTGATCCCTGTAGTGTGACACCACGTTTGGAGAGCTCCGTATTATGTCACATTCGTGGGTGTACAAATACAATAGCAGCCCCAACAATTTGAAACTCCGGGACTGTACCATGTACCTTCCACAGCATGATGCCCTCACTATTGATGATTTGCATTTAGAGCCTTTTCATTGATGGCAACTGTTGAGAAGAAGCCTGGTTTCATTCATTTGTTATCAACAACTCCCATCCAGAGAACAAGGCTTTTTACCCACCTTTGTGCAGGATGTGGGAATTTCGAGATCCAACTTAGGCTTGTGTGTGTGTGTGTGTGTGTGTGTGTGTGTGTGTGTGTGTGTGTGTGTTTTACCCCGTGTCTTCGATACTAAATTGCCCACAGTTCCGTTTCTTTTCATTGGAAAATGAAATACTGGACATCCTTCACTACACGGATTTGAAGTAGCATATTTATGGAAATTACCGCCCACTTTTTGACATTCAGCGCATAGCTGTGATAGCTGACTCCAGCCCTCACAGCGTTCTATTTACAACTTTCCGAGATAAGCCAGATGAGCGTTTCAACACCGGTGGTAGAACGCTGAAACACACACACACACACACACACCACCACCACCACCACCCCCTGCACAGTTTCTCTGCAGAATACGAGGCAGGGATGGCACAGCCCTGGCGGAGTGGAATTGGAGGTGCACAAATGAAACCAACCCCAAACATTTGGGGCCCAGTCAGGAAGAGCTCGTCCGTGTGGCTGCTGTGGCTGCTAATGACCGCTGCCCTCACGGCGATTCTCCTGAGTTCAGGGCGGAACTGGTCCGGCAGCGCATGCTCCAGAGTGCCTTTTCTTAAGCAGGTGGACAGGCCTTCTTCCCCAGGCACCTCTGAGTGGATTTGAATCACCAACCTTTCAGTAGTCCAGCAATGAATCCTTTGAACTCTACAAAGACTCCACAGGTTGACGTTCACTTACTCACTCACTCACTCACTCACTCCCTTTCACTGCCACAGAGGAGTCTGACTCTTCACTAAGAGTCTGTAGGAGGGGAAGCAGCGCCCCTGTGGGTTTCTGGAAGGGTACCCCGATGGGAATAGAAAGCCTTGTCTTTCTCCCATGGAGCGGCTGGTAATTTCAAACTCCTGACCTTGCCGTTGCCAGCCCAACACATAACCACTACACCTCCAGCGCTCCGTGTTGATATTCAGTATGTAAATCAGCACTGACATTTTAGAAGTGGATTTCTCTACCTAAATTAAAATCGGACCAAATATTTTAACTAACCATACATTCTCTTCTGAGAATGGATCCTGAAGAAATAATCATAGCTGTTCTGATACTAGCTCACAGGTTCATCATAATGGGACGTTTTACAGGAAAAAAATATTCCCTGACAAGGAAATTAATCTATAATATTATTCCCCTTCAGTAAATATTATTCCCCTTCAGTAAACAAGTAAGCCAAATATACTGATATATATAGAATAAAGAGGTGGCAGGATATATCCCAAGATGATCTCTCTATTTCTCTCGTAGTGACAGGGTGGTGGCTGAGTGTAAATGTGTGTTTTCTTGGATTTTAGCAAAGACCAATATACTGTTTCGTAGCAGTTTTCAAAAGTAGTGCTTTCTTGTTAATGTTGTAACTCCTTTGCCTGAAGTGAACCTCATTAGCTCAGCATGGGAAATATTTTGGCATTTATAGCTTGCTAGCAGATAAAACTTTAGTGTGCCAAGCTGTCCAGAGGAAGGGCTTCATATTTGCCACAAGATATAATGCACTTGAGAATGGCAAATGTATCCAGATAGCTTAGTCCCAACCAGAGAAGAGTATAATAGATTTATCTACTAGAAGCCATATTACTCTAATGAATTCATTCCAAAGTTCTTTTGAATTATGAAAATACTATAATTACAGTTGATTCTATTCCAAAGAGATAATTAATTACTTTATGGAAGCAAATGAGTATAAGAAAGCTATTTGATTTCTAATTTTATCACTTAATAATTTAGAGGAGCACTTAGTGCTTAAAATGAGGAAGAAAAAATGAAAAGGATAAAGTCGATTCACGAGTTCAACAAATATTTATTGATTACCTACTAGGGCCAGAACACCGTGTAAGTCTGCAGCGCAGTTGCAAACAATGCCGCCTAGTCTCTCGGACTCATGAAACCCATGTTCTCGTGAAGGGGAAGGAGATATAGACTACAGGTGTGTACACAGACTTTCTAAATGTACACACAAGTTAGCGTCTTGAAGAAAATAAACGAATGGGATAGAGAGTGGAAAGGGCGTTTTAATTAGCAGCATCCTGTCCAAGGAAGTCACATTTGCTCCCAGCAACATTTGCTCTAAGCAACTGCAAAGAACCGAAGTGTTTTCCAGACAAGAGAAAGGGTTGGTGCAACAACCGTGATGTTGGCGTAAGAGCTTGTCATATTTGAGAACGAGGCAACTTTCTACTCCTGTGTAGAGTTCGAGTCTGGGGAGAGTGGGGGAGATTGAGGGGAATTGGGGAGCAAATGGTGAATACAGGTGAGGGGTAGATGTGCTGGAACTGATCATATATATATATATATAAAATCACACCAAGCTAACTTATCAGCAAGCTAACTTTCTTCTACAGGCAATGGGGACTCCACGCAAGTTTTTAAAATCACTTATTTTTTTCTCTTTGAGCTTTTTTGTGCATTCTAGATAACTGAAAGGCAGAGAGCAATGAGCAAAAAGCAAAGAAAACAAAAGGCATCCAGAATCATTTTGATGATTTGATAGTTAAAGTTTGGCATGTCTTTCTACATCCAATGTATTCAATACAACTGAACTAGGGAAATGAATGATATGTGAATTTTATCTCAATAAAACAAGTGGAAAATTAATAAAAATGAAGACAATCATTTATATTGGTTATCATTATAAATCTTAAAAAAAAAATCCCAAGAAAGCATTATAGTCCCAGAGACCCATGGGGGCTGTTCTACATTGCCCTCAAGCGTTGCTGAGTGGACATTGACTGTCCATGGCAGTGAGTTTGGTTTTTTGAGTGATAATCACCCCTAGATGGAGCCCCGGCAGTGTAGTGCATTGAGCTGCTAGTCACGAGGTCATCAGTTTGAACCTCACCAGCTGCTCCAAGGAAGAACGATCAGGCTGTCTGTTGACAGTCTTGGAAACCAAAGCGCCAGTGCTGCTCTGCTGGGTCTCTGCGAGTCAAAATCAACTCGATGGCTTTGGGTTGGCAATTACCCATTTCCTTTATGTTTAATGAGCATTCTTTAGTAGGCAAAGTAGGACGTGTTCCTGCTTCGACTTTGAACAGAAACCTGGGCAACAGGGATGGGAGACTACTTGGTCTTAAGTTCTGTGAGTTCCCGTTCCCACGTAATTTTGAAAGTGAGGTGGGTGATCGTATGTACTGTCTGTGAGTTTGAAATGAGCCATCCTGCTGTGCGATGTTATTAGAGCTGAACCAGCGCCTCCCCCCGGAGGATCTTAGCAAATGCAGATTCTGATTCTGTCGCTCTGCGGTGGGGCCTAGTAGGGTCTAGTACCTAATGATGATGATGATGCTCATCCAGGACCAGTCATTAGGTCACAAGGGCTTTAATAATAGTGCTAATGTTGTAGACCTCGATGACCGCATGTAAAAGACACCTGCCATGTACTCCCTGAACGGCTCTTCTTTCTCCCCAAAGAAACGGACTTTTAGCCGAGTGACAAGAGAGTGAAATCCGTCATTTGAGAGGTTGGAGTCGCGCTCAGGGAATCAGGAGAGGAGGACAGGAGTCTGAGTCACCCCTGCCCTGTGTGATCTTGGACAAGTCACTGCACTCCTCTGAGTTTCCTTCCTCCCGGGGGTGAAATGGTGGTGACAATTAGTGAGCCTTTGGTGCTATGGACAACGTCATGTGGGAGAGACCCCGGGGATTGCTTTGCCAACTGGGGATGGCCTGTAACCGTCAGTGTGGTGGTTGCTATGATTACAATGACAACTGTTAGGGCGGGCCTGTCCCCACCGGAGGAGTTCTTGCCGATTTGAGGCAGAGTCCTGTACGTTCACACTGATGAGAAAATCGTCATCATCAAAGAAAGAAATGAAAAAATAAATAAATAAATAAAAAAGAAAGAAAAGAAAGAAATGAACTGAAATGTGTTTTCTCTGTTTTTCCTCCTCCTCTCCCTTGATCTCCTTCGCAGCGATCGAGACACAAAGCACCAGCTCCGAGGAGCTCCTCCCCAGCCCTCCGTCTCCACTGCCTCCCCCTCGAGTTTACAAGCCCTGCTTCGTCTGCCAGGACAAATCATCGGGCTATCACTATGGAGTCAGCGCCTGCGAAGGCTGTAAAGTGAGTACCAGCCAGCCTCGGTGCCGGCCTTGCCTTCTCCCCAAGCTCCCTGGAGGCGGCTCGGCGCTCCCGAAGAGGACTGCTTGGACCAGGCCACTTCACCTGGGATCAGCGTGGTGGGGCGGATTGTGTGGGAGGGCTTTCCTTTCATTCCCATATCTCACCAGGGGACAGTGTTCAGAAAACTTCCAGAAAAGACTGATCGGGGGCCATTGGTTCTAGGACTTGTAAACCCCCTCGCATCATAGTTTTTTGGGGGTTATAAGAACCTTTTCGATGGTAGCCCTGAGAAGTGTCATTCTGTTTCTTTTTAAAGCATACACCATCTGTGCCATTTGGGTATTTTTATTTTATTTTTAAATATGACCGACAGCCCACTGAATCAACTTGCAGAGATTCCAAGGTTGAAATTGGGATTTATCTCCTGGCTGTTTTCTCAGCCCTGTGGTCTTTGAATTACAGTTTGATTTTCAGCTTGTAGGTGTGTCATAAATTCAGAGGAGTTGGATTTAAAATCCCAGCCTTCAGAGTCCGGGAGGCTGAACATGTGTCAAGGAGGATATGGCTGCTTTGAATCAAGTTAGACACTTGTTATCTAGCCCAACAAGCTTAATTGAGTGAAAAGAGCTTTTTATTTTTTCCAAGAGAGGGAAAGAAACAAGGAATGACTTAATCAGCAAATTCAACTCATCCATAGAAAATTTCTCAGAGGGACTATGGCTGTCTTGAGCCAGCCCTTCCCTAGATATACAACTTCTTTAAGTTCTCTCTGGGTGGTTGTTTCGATCTGTTGTTTGTACATCTAAATCGCAGGGTACATTGATAATGGTGAACATGTTGGGGAAATACTACAAGTACTCCCATCAGATGCTCCCATAGCATGGTGTGTTCGGCTTAAAAGAATTAGTACTTGTGAATGTCATGGTTAACTACTGTTGTGTAACAAGCCATCCTTAAACTTAATGGCTTAGAACCCAGTCTTCTGTTTAGCCTCGGATGGGGTGGGCTACATTTTTAGCTCAGGCTTATCTGGGTGGCTCCTCTGATCTTGGCTACGTTCCACATGCTATCTGTGGTCAGCTGCTTTGGGGAGGGACTGGCTCTTGTCTGGGAAGCTTTGTGGTCTCGCCTCCCATCGGGATGGCTCTGGCTTATTCTCAGGGTTCCAGAAGAGGAGATGGGAGCACATAAGAATTTCTGAGATTGAGACTCAGAAGTGGCACACGATCAGGTTGATCACATTCTTTTGGCCAAAGCAAGTCACAAGGTCAGACCAGATTCATGAAATGGAAACCAACTCAACTTCTGAAAGTGATGAATCACCGGGCAAGAGGCACGGGTACAGGGAGCGGAAGCTTGGAGTCACGCTTGCATCCCTCTACCACATTGTATGTCTCATTGCCTGTAGACTCAGAGTGAGACCCTGGGTCTATTGCCCAGCACCTCACATCCTGACCGGTGTCTAATAAGTACGTAGGGAAGCAAGTTGAACAATTACGTGCATGTCACTCCTTCAAAGTACATTTTACTTCCTTTTCAAATCACTTGCGCAAGCATGCGCATTATTTTATAGGGCAAGACTGACTCCGGGAAATTCTTCAAAGACCTCATGACATCTCTCTGCCTCTGGGATTACTTTGGTGGTTTTAAAACTTCTGCGGAACACCCTTTCCTCCAATAGCTTCAGACATATGGCGATCAGAAAAGTTAGAAGGGCAACCAGTTGGCTGCAGGATAAAAAGTGAGCTGCTTTGCATTGAACTGTTGTTAGCTTATTGGTAACCCTAACCGATCCTTCTTTACTTCATCCTGGGATTTGGTAAGGCTTCAGGGAATATCAAATCGCTTTGCCCATTTGTTGTGCAATAGGTACATAAACCATTTTCTATGCTCATTTAAAAGTCCGGTGAACGGAGATCTCTTTATTTTAGAAAACGTTGAATTATTTTCATGTCTAGAAATCTTAAGGAGCAGTGTTGATGGCTCCACTCACCTGCTCCTGTCATGGCCCGGGGGAAAGAAGTAATGCAACTTGTCAGCTCTTGTGAGGGACACCAGGATGTTCCTTTGAAGCTCTTTCACAAGCTGTACAGAACAAACTGTTTTAATCAGCTCTTAGTCAGCTAATTCTCTGACCTCTTAAGGACTCGGACTCTTTTTAGGAAAAACCCCAACAAAAACAAAACCCATACCAGCACAAACAACTTTGATAAGTCTGACTAGGCTGTCCAGAGGCATGTTATGGTATATTTTTGCAAGAGCCATAGACCCCAAAAGGTCAGATGACTTGGCCAGCTTATTCGTTGTCTAGCCTGATCATTTTGGCATTGTGTGTGGGCCTCTGAATTTGTACCCTGCTTCCTCCTGGTTCCTGAAATGGGCTGCTCAGCATTTTGGCTGGGTGGGAAAATAGGGTGACACAGCTCATAGAACTGGAGAGTAGGAGATGGGAAAATCAACATCAAACAGCCAGAGTAAAAGAAATTCAACTTTTTAGAAATGGACTATAACTTTTGTTACCACTTTTTAAAAAGCACCTGTATAATACAGAATTGAAGTTTAAAAATTGGAAAATGGAAACAATCAGACTTACATCCTGGGAAGCACGCTTACTGGCCTTTAATTTATCTAAGAATATATGTATGTTGTGAATTTTTATTTTGTTTAACAAACATAGGATTGTATGTTGCGCGCTGGTCTGGAGCTACTTTTTAAATTTAATAAGCACTCATGACCAGGGGGATGGACAGCAGAAAAGTGGGTTAAGGGAGACAGTGGTTGGTGTAAGACAGGGGGGAAAAAAAAGAATAATTTATAGATTACAAAGGGACATGGAGGAGAGAAGCTGATAGCAAGGGCTAGAGTGGAAAGAAAATGATTTGAAAAAGATGGTGACAACATATGTATAGATGTGTTTGACACAATGGATATATGTGTGGATTGTGATAAGAGCTGTAAGAGTCTCCAATACAATAAAATTTAAAAAGAATCACTCTTGACCAACATTTAAAGAAATACATAGTTTTTATGGTTAGCTCATTAACATAGTAGTTGGTTATTATATCATCAATTATTTAAGTAATATCTATTGCTAAATAATTGACATGGGTCCAGTTTTTCTCTATCACAAGTGATATTTTAATGAGGAGCCTTGAGGTACAACTGTGAGAGTTTCCTTTAGGACAAATTGTAGATGTGGCATTTCTGGATGAATAACTTTATGTATTTTTCAGGTTTTTTGTATTCAGATTATTCAAATGTCCTCTGAATCAATGGATGCTCTGGCCGCTTATAACATTTTAATCTTCCTGGTGACTATTAGCATTTTCTCCCTGGTGATTCAATCAGGTAATGAATCAAGAAGCATCTTCTCTTCTGGAATTCTTCCCGTATTGGATGTCATTATGGACAATGGGCCCCATGGGTGATGCCATCATTGGCTCTGGCAGATGTACCCTGGGTCCCCGACTGACCTAAAAGGACTGATCCATTCTTTGGGTGGAGATCAGAGGGCTAGGACCCTCAGGCATAAAGGAGGATTCTCAGCCAGGGCCACACACACACACACACACACACACATATATGTGTGTGTGTATGTATATATATATATTTTTTTTTTCAGAAAATGATACCTGTAAAGATTTTGCCTGCCATGGCTAAGATGACCCTGTTGACTGTTACATAGAGAATCTTCATGTTCCTAGGGAAAATTAAGCTTCAGTCCCTGCTTGTAGTCATATGATAGTGGCCAGAATCTATTACATGGGTTGGTCCATTCCTTGGAATAGCTAGTGGCTTCTCTATTGACATAGCATCACCATGACAACATCACCATCAGACCCACCCTTAGGATGTCCCATCAGGGGGAATTCCAGCTGGGTACAGAAATTTCCTATTACAGAGTATTATGAATGTGTGATGTGGTTAGCCCAAAACATTTAACAATAAAAAATAATAAAACTGGTTTTCATGTGCTTTTAGGAATCAATTGCTGTACTCATAGCATAATTTATGCATAATTTTGACCTTAACTGTAATAGTTTATACATTAATTTGTATCACTTTCAAAGCATGATAGCCTAGCTAGGCTACTTACTGGCTGTGTGGCTTTGGCAAACATTTTAAACTCTCTGTGCCTCAGTTTTCTCTTGGGTGAGTGGAGATATTTAATAACCCCTACCTTATCACATTATGAGGAGAATACAATGAGTTACTGTATAAAAGCGGCCTGGAAGAAATACATATTTGTGCTCACCCCAAAGACAAGTGACTCAACAGAGTTAAACAATTTTCAAGCAGTACCATTAATATCGCATGCAGGTAAAGTTTTAGTGAAGATAATTCAAAAACGATTACAACATTTTAGCAACAGGGAGCTGCTAGAAATTCAAGATTCAGAAGAGGACATGGAATAAAGGTTATAGTTACCCATGTCAGACAGACGTTGACTGAAAGCAGAGAATACCATAAAGATGTGTGTGTGTGTGTGTGTGTGTGTGTGTGTGCGTGCACGTGCGAGTGCGCTTTATTGTCAGTGCAAAGACATCTAACTTTGTGGGTTATTGCAAATTGTGGATAATGGTGCAAGAATGGTAATTGTTTTCATGAAGAATTTGTACACAGATCAAGTGATGGTTGTTTGAACAGAACATGGCAATATTGTGTGATTTAAAATCTGGAAAAGTTTGCATCCTTTCAACATACTTACTCGATCCACATGCTGATCAAATAATTCCAGAAGCTGGACGCTATGAAAAAGAACATGGCCTTAGTGTTGGAGGAAAACTCATTACTGGCCTGTGGTATGCTGATGATGCAACCTCCTTGCTGAAGCCAGAGGAAGCGCTTACTGATGAAAATCAAAGACTAGACACCCTTTAGTAGAGATCACACCTATACATAAAGGAAACAGAAATCCTTACAACTGAACCAACATCCTAATAAATGGAGAAAAGGTGAAGTTGTCAAATAATTCGTTTTACTTGGATCCACAATCAATG